CAAAATGCTATAGTAATGGCTAAAAAAAATATGCTGAGGTCAGTGAGCTGAACAGATTTAGTACGCAACATACAGAAGCAAGCAAGCTGAGTGACTAACATAAATACCCCAGTTGCTGAGTTGTGAAGGAATAGGAAAGCAGGTTGGCAGAAATCTGATTTAGACCAGCACCTTGCATCATATATCAAGATAAGCTCCAGATGGATACATAACTTAGACATCAAAGGTCATATCTTTAAACAAATAGAGGAATAAAGAAGAAATTACCTTTCAGATATATGGATAAAGGAAAAATTCATGGTTAAAGAGAAGCTATGAGAGAGGTGACCCAAGAGTGGATCACAGAAGACAAAATGGACAATTTTGATTACATAATTAACAGGTTTTTGCACAAATAAATCAAACATAGCTAAGATTAGAGAGAAGGAAGCTAGGTGGTGAAGTGGATATAGTGCTAGAATTTGAATCAGGAAGATTTGAGTTCAAGACCTACTTCAGACAATTGCTAGCTGTGTGACCCATGGCAAATTTCTTAACCTTTGTCTGCTTCAGTTTCCTTAACTGTAAAATGGAGATAATAATTGTACCTATCTCCTAGGGTTGTTGGGAGGATTAAGTTAGATATTTGTAAAGCACTTAGCAGAGTGCCTGCCATCTAGAGAGTGCTTAATATTTAGAATCTACTTCCCAATGTTGTTCCCAAGTGGTTATTTCCTTCCTTTCTTAAGTAAGGGGGAAAAACCCCAACAACTTTGCATCAAGATTCTCTAATACAGGGTCTCATTTCCAAGATTTATAAAGCATTGATTCAAATGTGTAAGAAAAAGTACAATTGATAAATGGGTAAAAGATATGAAAAGGCAGTTATCAGGGGGAGAAATCCAACCTATCACTAGCCATATGAAAAATGTCCTAGATCATTTAGTATAAGAGAAATATAAATTAAAGCAACTGTGATGTTCTACCTTACACTCATCAAACTGCTGGAGGTGACAAGAAAGGAAAAATCACAAATGTTGGAAGGGTTATAGGAAAACAGATACACTAGCACACTGTTGGTGTAAATCTGTCCAGCCGTAGTGAAAAACAAGTTGGAACTTCAATCCAAAAATCCTAAATTATGCATTCCCTTTCACCCAGAAACAACTAGGCCTATGCCCCAAAGAGATCAAGGAAAGAGGGAAAGAAGCCTTACATGAAAAAAATATTTAGAGCATCTCTTTTCATGGTGGCTAATAACTAGAATGAGACATACGTTTTTGGACATGAGCAATGCGCAAATCGATTTTGATTGGCTATAAATATTTATTATAAAGGTTTGATTTTCTTTTTCAGTCTATGTGGGGGAGGCGGGAAGGACAGAAAATAGAAATCTGTTAAGTGAAAGGGGTTAGACACGAATGTGCATTTACAGTGAAACATTTAAAACAATTAAATAAGATGAACAGGTTAACTTCAGAAAAACCTGGAAAGACTCGTATGGTCTGATGCGGAGTGAAGTGAGCAGAACCAAGAGAACTTTGTACACAATAACAGCCACGTTATATGATGACTAATATTGATAAACTTAACCCTTCTCAGCATTACAAGGATCTAAGACATCTCCAGAGGCCTCTTGATGGAAAATTCTATCCACATTCAAAGAAAGAACTGTGGAAGTTGAATCACTATCGTTTTATTTTCTCTTCTGTTGAGTTTTGTTTCCTCTTTCTGATGGTTCCTCCTATTGGTTTTAATTTTTACTTACAACTTCACTAATGTGAAAATATGTTTGACAGGAATGTAAATGTATAGCCTATATCAGATTGTGCACCGTCTTGGGGAGGGTGGTGGAGAGGAAGGGGGTGAAAAAATTTAAACTCAAAAGTATATGGAAGTGATTGTTGATAAATCAAAATAAATTAATGAAATTTAAAAAAGTAAAATAAGAAACAATATAAAATAATGATAATATAGGGATCAGACGACTGTATATTTACAATGAAATATATTTTTTTGAAAATAAAATGTCAAAAAGGAAAATATAAGGCACTCCTCCATTGGGAGCAGCTTATAATAAATAACCTTTCTCTATCCCTAAAAAGTATCATCTCGATTTTATGGATCTTTGTAAGGTCTTTGCAACTTCTTGCTGGAAATTTCTTAAAAAAACAAATTCTTCCGGGCAAGTCATTTAACCCCATTTGCCTCACCAAAAAACAAAAAAAAATTATTTTTGATTTTTCACAGTATAAAACATCAGATGTGGGGCAGCTATGTGGCACAGCAGATAGAGCTCTGGCCTTGGAGTCAGGAGGACCTGAGTTCAAATTTGGCCTCAGACATTTAATACTTACTTGCTGTGTGACCATGGGCAAGTCACTTAACCCCAATTGCCTCACACACACACACACAAAGCAAAACATCAGATGAAACAAAGCAATTAAAAAAATTTAAAAAAACAGCTATACTGTGGTTTCCTTGCAAAAAGCATGTAGACAGGAATGAGTGTGATGTATATGTGAGACATTAAGTAAACTTGTCTCAGTAAAATGGAAGATTTATTTTAAAGAACAAAAGGAAATTAACAATAACAGTATCATAATAGCTAGCATTTACACAGTGCTTTAAAGATTGCAAATCATTTTATAAATATTAATTTCTTTTGTCTTTACAACACTGAGAAGTAGATTCTATTATTGCTCACATTTTACAGAAGTGGAAACTGAGGCAGATAGTTTAAACAAATTGCCCAGGGTCACATAGCAAATAAATGACTGAAGTTGAATTTGAATTTAAGTGTTCTTGACTCCTGGTCTAGCACTTTATCTACTGGAAAGGTAATTTAAATGAATGAATGCATGAATGTATGCATGCATACGTGAATGAATGAACAAAAAAGTACCTAGTATATGAAAAACACTGCAAATGTAAAAATGGAGATGATTCCTTTCATCAAAGAGCTTGTATTCTAATATGGAGAGTACATATGTATAAGACAGTAGTGGCATAGGTAGGGTATTTTGGTTTGAGAAAACACAGAGATGCCATGAAGGCCTTGAAACACCAGATTTAAGACTTTGGACTTGATCTGTTCGTCAGATTGCTAACTCTATTCCCTTCTGACGTCTAGCTTCAGTTCATGCTTTTCATTGTATTTTCTTCAAATTTGTCAGAAGAAATGATCATCTGAGGGTGAAGGCCATAAATGGTCTGGGTTCATTCTTCCAAACCATGCTCCGTTTAACAGAATGTTTTTTTTTCCCCCTAGAGAAAGGCTACTGCTTCCCTCAGTGTTCTAGGGGTAACCTTGTAGTTTGGCTTGCTTTCTCTTTTTATAACTCATGAGCCCTAATCTAGTGTATTTTCCAATATCATTTCCAATTAGCATTTCCTCCTCCTCCTCCTCATTGTCCAGATATCAATTGACCAGTTACTATTTCCGTATCATCTAACCAATCAACATCATTGAGCCTTAACAAAAGAGGGTATCTTGAGAAGGCATACATAGCAAAGACAGAATTACAAAAACATCTGCCCAAACCAGGGCACATTGTATCCTCTACATAAATGCTTGGTTTCTCAGGAGAGTGGGCTCAAACTTAAAGTTTGCTTTGAAGGTTTCTACAAACCTTTCCTCTCCCCCCAACCCAAGTTCACTTCTGGTTGTGGTGTGTCCAGTAGACAAGTCAATTCCTTGCTTGCAGGGCATGCCGTCTTGGTTGTTACATTGTTACATTGCTGGGTTGAGTGAAGAGGTTTGATAACTCAGGACTGACTCCCTACCAGGCTCAAATCTGCTATGGACTTTAGTTGCAGGACCTCTAGTGGCTCTTATTATGATCTCTAGAACATTCTATCCCTCAAATTTATTCACCTCAGATCAGCAGACAATGATTGAGAAACAGCCATGGCCATGAGCTCACAGACATATTGGGGTGGCAGGTGTCAGTGGCTGATTGTTCCTTCCTCTCCTGAGAAGACGTCTGTTTCTGCTTTTTGTATGCATATTCAGTTCTGGTTTGGCAGTCATTTAAAAGGCTTTCCATTACCAGGAAATAAGCCAAGAAGAAACAGGATTTCTGAGTGTACTCTGAAATGATGAGGTAAAGAGAGACCCTTCCATCCCACTTTTCCTGAAGCTGAGTCTTCATTCAGACTGCCAGCTGGGAAATCATACTGTGTATGTTCTGATGACTAGGATCTACTGGCCAGTCTCCTATTATTTGAACTACTCCATCAAAAATGTATACTTTTATATGCCTGTATACTTATTTAGGGCTCTCTGAGTTTTCTCTTTAGATAGAACAACTACTTTGGATGTTCCTCTTAGGGCATGTTTACCTAGGATCATTTTGGATTCTCTATGAATTGAAAAAACTTGGAAGTGGAAGGAAACTCTGAGGGTGTCTGGTTCAACTTGTACCTAAATAAAAATCCATTTTATGCCTTCTCCTACTAAAGGTAATCCAGTTTTCACTTAACCTCCAGAGAGAAGGAGCCCTTCATCTCCTAAGGTGGCCTACTCCACTTTTGGAAAGATTTGATTAGTGGGAAGTTTTTTCTTGTGTTTCCTTATATTCTTCCTTACACTAGGCCTGAATTTGTCATCTTCATTTTCCACCTGTTCTTACTTCTGACCTCTGGGATTAAGCAGAATAAGTAATCTTTGTTCCCAGTGATAGTCCTTCAAGTATTGGATGACAAGACTGTGCTTGTCTTCCAGTTAGCTAACAGCAGTTAACTAGTGTGTTGGATGGAGTGCTGGGCTTAGAACCAGGAATATCTGGGTTCAAATCCCACTTAAGACAAATTAATAGCCATATGACTCCAGGCAAGTTATTTGCTTTCAGCCTCAGTTTCCTCATCTGTAAAACAGATAATAATCACACCTATCTTAGAGGTTTATGGTGAGGATTAAATGAGATAATTTGTTTAAAGTACTTTGTAGATTGTAAAGTGATACATAAATGCTTATTATAATTTAGATAGTACTTATCTTCCTCTGTTCTCTCTCCAAGTTCTTCATGCCCTAATGAAATGATGGACAAAATACTCAAGTGGAAGACTGATGTCTCATGGCTGCTGCATGATGTACGAACATTCAAGGATATGCTGCCCTGACATTTTGAAACCTGAAGTGATTTCAGCGTATTAACTTAAAAAAAAAAGAAAGACACTTGGATGAAGACAAAACCCAGTATATTTATAGAGCACACAGTAGGTAAGACTATGGGTCATTAAAAAAAGATGTAAAGCAAGCATAATCTTTTCATCTCAGTTATCTTGCTCTCTGAGTGTGTACAGTAGACACATGAGCATGATGCAGTAGAAAGAGGGCTGGACTTGGTGTCAGAGGGCCTGGATTCAAATCTCAGTTTCGATACTACCTATGTAATCCTGGCCAACTCTGGGCCTTGGTTTACTCATCTGTAAAATGAGGGGGTTACAGTAGATCATCTTTATGGCGCCTCTAAATTCAGAGTCCTCCAAGATCCCAATGAATTAGAGTAGAGAGTTGTATTTTCCTTGGCTGGGATATTCTTTGCCTATTTAAGAATCTGTCAGTGCCAGGTTCTCTCTCTTTTATGGTTTATGTCAGTGTTTTTATTAGTTGGCCTAAGACAAAATCATATTATTGCATCAATCCAATGCTGGGCTAAATTTTGCTGGGGGGAATTTGGCCTGGGCAATGCTGGCAAATCTGGAATTGAACCTCTGACCCAGTTTGTGACTCAAGGGAGATAGGAGAGAACTAAGTTTCCTGCTGCAAACTCTGACTTTTCACCTATTGCCCTGACTGCCTTCTGCAGGAGTAGCTTTTATTGTTCTTAGGGAGGACTAAAATAGTAAATTGTGTTTGGTGTCAGCATCATCAGCCTAATGGCCTACATGATATGCTCAGGAGAAGTACTTGCTATAGAATGTTTCCCTTGGCCTTACTCGCCCCTTTTCCCTACTAGACATTTCTTGGTGTGAAGCTCTCTACAACTTAATGGCTTCTTTTTTCTTGTTCTTTTAAAAAAATGATTATTTGCTGACACTTTAACTCCAGACTGTCAACTCCAGAGAGAATACTTCACAAAGTACTTGAGGCAGAGTTTTACTTCATAAAAACTGCTCTTTAGGAAGGAAATGGGGATAGAAGATAAGGGGTAGAGGTGGCCCAGTTTCTATAAGTCTGTAAGGACTTATATAGGAAACTATAGCATTTGGATGAGATGCTCAAAGCTTTCTGAAAAATGGACTAGGTCTTAGAAATGGTCTGGTCTACAGTCAGGAGCCATGAATATAGGTAAGTCTATAATCAAGAAACTCTCCAAATCTCTGGTTTTAAAATTTTATGTAATAATGCCATCTTTTTTTAAACAAAAAAAATTCTACTCCTCCACACATTTCACAAAACAATATTCATAGATGTGACCAACAAAGACAATGGAATAGAATAGGTACTTTATCTAAACCTCTTCACTCTCAAAGTAAAGGAGTAATTCAGCAGATGATTACAGAGGATTTCACAGACAAGATCTTCTCCTTCTGTCCCCCTCAAGGTGAAAGGATTAAATTAATCAACCAATCACGTATTTATTAAGCAGCTATGATTTGCCAGGCAAGATGTTAGGTATTGGGGATATGAAGATAAAAATGAAACTGTCCCTGCTCCCAAAGAGCTTACTTTCAGTAAGTATAAACACAATATAGAAATAGGGATTGGATCTGTGATTTCAGTGGCACAGCGAACTCTTGGATAAAAAAATTCTCTGTATCAGTAAAGGTTAGCACCTTCTCTTCACTTTATAGTCTATAAGAGTTGCCTACAGTACTGAGAGATTAAATTGCCCTATGTCGCACAGCTTTGAGAAAGAAGACTTAAACCTGGTCCTTTCTGGTTAGTAGGCTAGTTCTCTATTCACTATGCAGTGCTGCCTCTTACATACCAAATAAATATGAAGTAGATTTTTTTGAGGGGGGAATGAAAAAGTAGAATGAAAAGGTAGGTTGAAATAAAATTTACTATGCATCAGGTGATTTTAAAAATGTAGGAACTTTAGTCATGCTATCCAACAATGTGAAAATAAAAACTGATGTTGAAAGGAAAACAGAAAACCTACATTATGTTTAAAAGATTCAAAAAAAATGAGTAATACTGAATTTAAAATTATATGAATCAAATGACATAGCATCTAACTTCATAAAGAAAAGTTAATTAATTGCATTGCAAAAGTCATAGTGACTCAATAATTGTAAGAAAATTCAGTGTTCCTCTTTCAGAGTTTGACAAATCTAACAGAAAGATAAAATGGAAAAAGTAGGAGTGAATGAACTTTTGAATAATTTAGAACTGAGTCTTGTGGCATATTCTGAATTGAAACATTTATATACACATATATCTGCATACATACATACATACATATATATATATATATATATATATATATATATATATATATATATATATATGCAGACACACATATATTTCTCTTTTTCCCTTAGCACCATGTTATCTCTATAGAAACAGACCAGGTGATAGGTCTCAGAAAATTATAAACAAATATAAAAAAGCAGAAATACTAAACATATCCTTTACAAATGTGAACACAACAAAACAGTAGTTAAAAAAAATAGGCAAAAGATAAAGACAATAATGACATCCTGAATAATAAATGGGTCAAAGGAAAAAATCACGGAAACAGTAATTATACGAAAGAGAATTATAATAATGAGACAACATACTAAAATTTCTGAGATTTAGCTAAGTAATTTTCAGATGAAAATCGTATCTTTTGAAAATGTGCACTAACAAAATATTGCTTATATTGCTCTCATGATTCTAGTTTGTTCTGCATTAGTCTATAAACATCTGTATCTGTTCCTCTAAGTCCCTCATATTTATCATTCTTTAGAGGACAATATTATAATTTATTCCATTCCCTCAATTAAAGAGAACTTTATTTCTAGTAATTTTTATAACACAAAAAGTGTTGTTATGAATATTTTGATGTATATGAATCTTTTTTATTGTCTTTAACTTCCTTGGGATTTATGTTCAACGGTGGGATCAGTGGCTCAAAGCATCTGAACAGTTCAGTCACTTGTCTTGCATAATTTCAAATTGTTTTCCAGAGTGATTAGGTCAATTCATAACTCCACTGACAATGTGATAGTATGTTGTTCCTTCCTGCCCCTCCAGCATTGACTGTAATCTCCTATTGTCTTTCCACTTCAATGTGTGTGAGGTGAAACTTCAGAGTTGTTTTAATGTTCATTTCTCTTATTGTGAGTGTTTTTTCATATGGTTGTTTTTAGTTTGTAATTCTTCCTTTAAAACTGTTTAGGTCCTTTGACCACTAATCAATCTATTAGGGGATGGCAAAACTGAGATCTTTAATTGTGCATCTTGAAAAATGTTATTGCCCACTTCACCTGGTATGGCTGAGGATAAATTATATACAGACTGCTTTTTGGTAGTGTGTTGATAAATGTTTAACAACCAGATCTCCAAATATGTAGGGCACATTAAGTTGAATCTGTATTATTAACATTTTCCATCACTTTATTAAGTCTGGATAATCAACAAAACAATAATTCAAACCCTGATTTGTGCTATTTGCTGATTTCCAAGGTATAAAAGCTCATACTCAAAAATTTAACAATTGGCTCTCTCAGGTGAGTTCATGTTGGCTTCAGTATACCTCTGCTGCTTTCTCAAAGAGAGTTTAGGGAAGAACTTTTATAAACTCTAAGTCTTTACCAGTATCTTGCAAAATATTTTCTTTGGTTCTTTTCCTCCTAAATAAAGGACCCCATCCCATAAGAGTGGTTACTTAGGAAATATCCTTAGTCAATGCATTGTACTTGTTGCTGAAATCTTTATGCAGATATTTGGTGGTTTGTGTTTGGGGTATCTCCTAGCTAGGAAAAGTGATGATCTTCCTCCCCCATTTTTTTTTTTTTGCTAGGCAATGGGGTTAAGTGACTTGCCCAGGGTCACACAGCTAGTAAGTATTATGTGTCTGAGGCTGGATCTGAACTCAGGTCCTCCTGACTCCAGGGCTGGTTCTCTATCCACTGCACCACCTAGCTGCCCCTTCCCCCCATTTTCAATATGTATTTTATTTTCTCCCCAATTACATGTTAGAACAATTTTTTTAAAAAACATTCCAAATTCTAGGAAAGTGTAAGAAGATTGTGCAAACAGGGAGGGATCAAGTTAAAAAGGGCTTTAAAATTGATCCTGGAGGTAATAGGGAGCCATTGGTATTTAAAGAGTAGGGAAATGACATAGACCTGTCCCCTAGGAAGATCACTTTGGCAACTGTGTAGAGCATTATTGGAGTGGATACAGACTTAAGCAGGGATTTCTAATATGACCATTAGTTAATTAATTAATTAGTGCTTAATTAGTCCAGAGGACTATTACAGGAGTTCAGACATAAGGTGATGAAGGTGGCAGCTATATGAGTGGAGAGAAGGGGCTGTGACATATATGCCAGCTAAAGCTTCCTAAAAGAAATCTGCAATGATTTAAGTGAGTGTAGTCCAATAATCCACATGGTAAAAAACCAAGTGGAAAAATGTTGGGAAGGTAGAAGCAAGTCTTAGCAAGAGATTGGATATGTCAGTAAGTGCAAGTGAGAAGTCAAGAACAAAAGCAAGATTGCGAGCTTGGATCATGGGAGGAATGGTGGTAACCTTTCCAGTAACAGGGAAATGAGAAAAGGGAAGACTTGGAAGACATGATAGTGAGTTATGTTTTGACATGTTGAGTTTGAGATGTCTATGGAAATATAATTAGATATGATCCAGAGAAAGAACTGATAAATAGAAGTATATATAGAATGATTTTACATGCATGCACACACACAGACACACACACACACACACACACACACACGCGCACACACACACGCACACACACACCCCTGTGTTTAGTGGCCGCTATCTCTAGGGTGGGGCAGGAGGGAAGAAAAAAGAAAAAAAGAAAGTTGTATGATAACCTTATTATATATTTTAAAGGAATAGCAAGTTGTGCATAACAGATTTGTAGTTTGATGTGCAATCATATTTTAAAAAAATTCTACTATGGGGGCAGCTAGGTGCCACAGTGGATAGAGCATTGACCTTGAAGTCAGGAGGACCTGAATTCAAAACAAGCCTCAGACACTTGACACTTATTAGCTGTGTGACCCTGGGCAATTCACTTAACCCCAATTGCCTAAAAAT